ATGGGGTTCCTACCGCTGTAGGCGAGCGTGCGTACATTGAACGTGCCGAACGATAGGTCGCCCTCTCGTGCCTTCTTCTTCGCAGCCGCCTTGACGGCCGCTGCGGTCTTGTGTCTCTCTCGGTCAGCCTCGCGTTGCGGGTGTGCTTTCTTCCGTATTTTCCGAGCGGCGAGTTTCCTCGCATCAATCCATCTCTGCAGAGCTCGGTTCTTGCCTGTGGTATTTTGATGAGGAGGGTGCAGCACTCCCTCCCTGCGGTGCCCGCGGTTGTCTCCCTTCTCCCGCGAGCGGTGCTTACTGACGTCGTGTTTACGAATCTCTCTACTCCTCCAGCTTCGTGGGCCACGCTTTCCGCGACGGTGGTTGCCAGGTGCAGTTTGCCGCTTTCCATTACTGCCGCGGGAACAGTGTCCATACACACCTCTCCCCACTACCACCGTCTATGCATCCTCACCGCCACGCTGGTTCAGCGTGGCGGTGAGTTGCACTTGGGACACCATCCACCTACTATCTGTTGTGGCCTGGTTCGCCCGCGAGGGACTCCCTAGGTCGATTTCGGCCGCGGCCGGGGAGCAGGCCGAGGGGAAGTCTGTGTGTTGGGAACGAAACATGAATCGATTGCGTCGGGGCTGCTTGTGGGTCGTTTGACAAAAGCCGCTTCGGGCTCTGGTTGTCTTCGCAGCAACGAGGACGGTTCCGATGTATCTACCGGGTACCTTCGAACGTCCCGTAGCATAACGTGTGCTTAGCACAAGTGATGCGGACGGCTTGCATGGTCACAGCAAACGTCCGAAAAGAAGCGCGTACAACAAACATCAAGAGAGAACCACCAATAAACCTCCACATGAGAAGTGAACGTGCTGGGAATGTCGACACGATACCCCGCTTCGAGGCTCGAAAACCTGCGGCGTGTTATTTACTGCCGCCACGCCACCGCTAGGCACGGTGATAACTTCGTGCTGATCATCACACGTGTTGTGAAGTTCGGTGCCCACAGCATTGGCAAAGGGCTACCGAGGACAGTGCAATAACGGTTTAATAATGTGCTTGGATTGCTCGTTGGGGTTGCACTGTGGGCGGGTCTCAACGTTATCCACAGTAACTCCTAGTCTCAGTTGTTACCTCGGATAGCGCGCAGAGGGAGCAGAGGACTCCAGAATATTTGTCGTTGATTTCTATTGACTTGCGGATCCCTCGCGGCCAGTTTATTTGAGTGTACCTCTTTAGGGTAAGCTAGCCTTCGACCGCGGGAATCGACCGCGTCAAGTGTTGGATCAGTACAGACATATGAAAGTACTGGGTAGAGAGAGATCGGATCGGTTGTTAATGTGAAGACAACAACACAATATCACTCACGTCCAGGGCACGGGTGCGCTCCTTTCCCTCCCAGAAGGCAACCTGGATGTTCACGATGTCCTGGCGATCGGCAAAGGAGTACTCGATCTGGCACAGGCCTTCATCGGGGACGAGCATCGTGGCGCACGACCGCCTCGACTCGGTATCGGAGATGATATCGTCATGAGCCTTGAAGGTCACACAGTCGTCGCCACCGACCTCTCCGCATCCGACGTTGCCGCTGCTACTACCCGGGCGCGTGTCGTGGGCGGTGGCTGATACGTTCACCTCAGTCATTGTACCAACCTCATGGGCGATGGCCACGGTGGGCAGCGGCCCCGTCTGGTTCGAGGGGATGTAAACGTGTGCACATACTGCTGAGAGAAAGTAGAGTAGGTGTATGATGTGCGACGTGATACCGGCTGTCTGCTGTCCTCCTGTAGTCCCGTGCAACGCGTACCGCGCTGAAAGCTTTTGCTTCACAACCAAACCCTCTCTCTCCACACTACAATACACACACAGCCCAGCAACATATACGGGAGGTAAAGCGAGGATAGATAGGACACAGTGTTACATACGGGAGGTAAGCGAGAAGAGATAGGGTGATACCTCTCTGGGTAAGTTCATGAACAATCGCGGGAGGTTTTATCGGGAACCCGGCTGTCGCAACGTCTGGACTCGTAACACAACGGCAAAGAAAGGGCCCCCTCTTTATGCAGTTTCCCCCACGAGAAAAGATCGTTTGGTCAACCCATCTTCGAGCCGGATTCGGGCTGGCAAGGTGGGGCCCTGGACGTAAACGATGCTTAGTCTTGTCCGCCAAACGGCAAGTAGCTTCCTGTATTGCAGACATAGGGTAGGAAACGACTTCTTCCTGCGAATGCGGAAACAAACGTTCGTGCAATTTGCAGTAGAACAGTAGACGCGGGGAACGACAAACTGCTGTACCGTTCCATTTGCGACGACTAACCCACCGCATTCTTCCTTGTTGTTGCTGTTGCAATTGTCGTCGCCTATCTCGAATGGCTTGCCACAGGCCTCCATCATTTCGGCCGTAACGTCATCATCGCCTACACACGCCGCGCCAGAGTCGACGCAACCGAAAAGGGTGCAGCCACTCGTGAGGTCCTCGGGAATCTGACGGTTTGGGAAATGAGGCACCAATGATGAGGCAATGAGAGGTGGTACCGTAGTCGGGGAACACATCAAAGTGGACGCAGAAGAGAGACAGACTTGTCGTGCATAATGAAGTGTAGATTACACGTCATTTTCCCTACGGCAGACTACCTGGCAGCATAGAGGAATCACTTCCTGAATGGAGCTACTCCACCCGGAGAAGAGGACAAGTAGTTTCTTTTCACAATAGCGAGAGGAGGCGGCAATGCCAAACAAAGGGTTTCGCAAGAGAAAGCTCGCCGAGGAGAGGAAATAACTGAGCCCAACCTCGCTCTTGTGTATTCGGACCCACGGGCTTCGCAGTGATTCGCACCTGGCACGTGCATTCGTAGCAGTCGCCGCCATCAAAGCCTGACGAATTGGGCCAGCCGGAACGACGATGGGGTTGAAAGAAAGCCGAGCGAGGGAAAACACGAACAAACATAACCTTAGTTCTGCCAGGACCAACCTTTGGTGCTGGCATTCTCGCGAGAACGCTTGCTGCTACCGTCTTTGCCTGAATTATGGCGCTCGGGACAAATAGAACGCAACGAAACTAAGAAAGTGAGGGTTAGGAGCCCTATTCCTGGTAGAAAGGTGTGTTCGAGGTAGCGGCATGTGCATCGACAGAAGCGTAAACAGTCTGATTGGATAGTTTGAATGTCGGGACTGTCAAGCTGAAGAGTCGCTGTGTAGCCACATATGATGAGAATATAGTGGAATGTTCTTGGTCCGTTCTCTCTGGCTGTAGGAATGTCCTTCGTGGATAGTACATTAGCCCGAGGATGTGTGATACGTAGGAAAGTGCATTGGTCCGTAGGAAAATGCATTGGTCGGTTCCATGCATCGGTCCGTGTTCGGTGTATATGCGTGATCGGGCGGATGCCCAAGCGTGATGCTGCTGGGATGCTGTGCACCCACCCGGCTCACTCCACCTTTTGACCTGTTCTCCCGAATCAAGGTCTCATCAATACAACATATTTTCCCCAGAAGCCACGAGTTTACCAACACGCTTTAAGCGCCAGCAATCAGTCGATTGTTGCTTGTCCCCTCGGACTGTACATCAAGACTGCACGGAGGAAGGTTGATCACCTTGCTTCGTGATGAGTGGGCCTGCTGGGGATCATGTGGATGACCCACCTCCGGGTGATTCGCAGGATGTTATTGGTGGTGAGAGATTGGATTCGATTGAGACACAGTTGTCCCAGCTCACGAGCATAATCAAGTCCCTTGTTGGGCAACGAGGTGATCAGGTGGAGTCCTCTGTTGGTGCTGCTGCGCCGGGAAGCGGCGGAACATAGTACGGGGCTGGTGCGCATCAATCGGATGCAACCAGTGGGACTGCGGGAGGTACGGGCGGCGATGCTCCAGTCCTTGGCATGCCACGATCAGGGTCCGTGAGGACAACGAGGGGGCTCTCGCGTTGGTGCAGAACCCTTTCAGCGCGGCGAGGAGCAAGCACATCGACGTGCGGTTCCACTTCATCCGCGAGCTCTTCAAGGCGGGCAAGATCACCGCAGATTATGCCTTGACAGAAGAGCAGCACGCCGATATGCTGACCAAGGTCCTTGGTAGGGCAAGTTGGAGTACCACCGGAAGGCTCTGATGAACCTGCCGATGTAGGGTTCTGGTCTCGTTTTCGTGGCGTTTGTTTTGTTTTGTTCTAGCACTGGGCGCGTCTCGGACCATGGTATGTCACGCAGGAAGCGTTGGGCAGGGGCGTCACCCGCGGCGGGAGCTTAGGGTTTTTGACCAATTGCTTCGGGTGTGTAATCAGCGTGGCCTGTCCAATCTGTCCTGCCTTGGTCCTGCCCTGATAGTGCGGCCGTTGGAATCCTTCGTGATAGCGACGGTTTCTTTTATTTTTTGAATTTGTAGGCGAGGGTTTTTGATCCGGATGACCGAGTTTTTCCCTTGCACCCGTTGTTGTATGAGTAACTTAAGTAGATCTGGAGTATCCATGCGCCACTGATGGTTTGTCAATAGCTTGACGAACCGGGGAGGGTGTTCGTGTGTCTGGATACGAGCATGGTAGATCTGCTAGCAGCACGGGGGGGTACGTAGACAGGAGCAAGCGTATGCCTGAAAAAGGCTACTATGTGTGGGCCCCCTTCCCCGAATCCGGGAGGGCCACTTCTTCCCTTCCTTTCCTCGCTCCCGCGGGTGCCTAATCAGAGAGAGTTAAAGCGTGTCTTCTCCTCCCAAGTACGGACATACCAACAGCAAGTACTCTATGATAGTCACGCGGGTGGTCTCTCGAAGGAACGACATAAAAGCAAGCCTCACCCTTCGGCAGCAGCTTTGACGGTCGCTGCCACCTACAGTACGCCGGTTTCAAAAACGGATACGGTCTAGCAGGACTAGCTTCGCCATATCACATCTCATACGCGGACTTGCTGTCTGGGTTAGCGGAACAAGCTGCGTGGTGAAGTGCTTCGCAAGCCCAGTGCATGGCCTTAGCCCAGAGTCTGTCAGTCTTAGGTAACTGCACATGCCTAAACCATACCTTCGCCTGAATACGAGCCGCCATTGCAGCTGCCTCAATCAATCCCAAACCACGCTCTGCAACACCGTTGTATTGTGGACTGTAGGCCGGGGTGAACTGTTGCTTAATCAAGAGCTTATTGCACATTGACGCAAATTCCCCTCCGAAAAACTCCCCCCCATTGTCAGATCGAACAATCTCAACCAATGATGGTAGGTTTTCATCAGCACGCACCCTAGCAACGAAACTTCTGAAAGCACCCCCAGCGTCTGATTCATTCCTCAGGAAATACAGCCATGCGTCTAGTGAAACCATCCTTCACTATCATGGGGGTAGTGTTTACCACCTACGGATGCAACGTCCGTCCGTCCTCCCAGGTCAACAAAAACTCTGCCCAACGTTTTGTCTGATTTGCGCTTAGTTTCACGAGCAATTTCTCTCCTGAATGCTTAGACATCGAACATCGCGTGCAAGCATTCAATTCACCAGTCAACTCAGTGCCCAGTCGCTTTGCAGTTGTACGAAGCAATCCCTCATGGGCATGAGCATAAATGTTATGGAACTTGTTCACATCCATCTTAGTTTCATGCTTGGGGTTCGAAGGAGTGAGGGCAGCCAACATGGAACCAATTGAATTGTCTTCGAGACGATACGCAGTCGCAATCAGCATACCATCGAATTCATGAAAAGTAACTTGTTTGTCGAAAGCAGTCATCACTCTTTCAGGACCACCGAGGATATTTCATAAGTTGCCATCAATCACTGCGCTGGGAGAAAAGAGGATGCACAAACCTTCTCCATCTCTACTGAACACTCGCTGTCAGGAATCACAATCACTTCCTCCAGGGTTCCAGAAGGTCTACTTCACAAGTCACGCCATCAATCCCTCATGCGTCCTAATAATTCACATCGTTAATGCTAGAGAGAGTCTGTCATGTGGAAAGCAGTAACCGTGTCCGTAACAGCATTCTTGACATATCTGTCCTTCCTCACAAGAATAAGAGTATTTGCGGACAGCATCATCACTTGACAAGCACTCCAGCAGCATAACCTCGTAATACGCTACCAGACACGTCAGATTATGCGTATTGTTCAATCTGGTTTGAGAAAGTAGCACCATGTCAGACTTCTCACCGATCTCTTTGCTGTCTGGCGCAGCACATGCCACACTGAATCCTTGCTGTACCGAAGGAGTCAGGTCGAATTCAAAGCTTGCAATCGGAAACTCATGCGTAGACACACACAACGCTTCAAATATACTTTTGTGGAGGGCACCCAGCAGAAAATGATTTGACCACAACGGATACGAGACAACATCAGTCCCGTCAAAAACAACAGGAGCTATGGGAACTTTAGAAGGGCTCCTACCCAACATTTCGCCTGTGTCTGAAATGCCGGCCCCAGGGATCAGTGTGTTTCCACTGGCGGCATGCCCCCACCACTCACTCGATGGAGTAGACGGGGGCGGAATGAAAAACTGGCTACCTGGTGCCCCACTCCCAATTCCGATCGAACCAAAGTTTGCGGCACCAACAATGGAACGATTTATTGTAGATGCATCAGGGTTCAAGCTTGAGTCTAACGGACCACTACTCCCAACCCAATTAACATCAGTTGCTCTAGGGTTCAGGCCTGAGCCTGCGCCTGCAGGACTACCACTCCCAACCCCAACGCTGGACCGCTCGTCTCGGGCGCAATGAACGACAGAACACCACGCACGAACAACGCTTCCTTCACGCCCTCCCCGGCTGCAATATACTCTGCCTCCGTGGTCGGCTGAGCCGTCACTGGCTGCGTCTTCGTGGATGCGCACACTACGGTCCCACCTACAGTCACGGCTAGCCCCGTCGTCGAACGCCTGTCAACGGTACTGTCGGCGTAACTAGAATCGACGAACACGTCTAGGTCTAGCCCTGATCCGCGGACGTAGGTGATCCCGAGGTCCTTCGTCTCGTTGAGGTAGGACATGATCCGCACAAGCGCGTTCCACATCCTCTCGGTGGGTGAGTGGGCGATCTTCTGCAGCTTGTTCAAAGGCAGCGCGATGTCCGACCTCGTGAACAGCAACCACATCAGGCATCCGATCGCTTCCCTCACGGGCTTGTCCACCGAGGACTCGTCGTCTCTCTTCGGCCCTAGGTCATCGTCGACGACAGCGGGCGTGGGAGCAGTGGTCGTGACATTGAAGCGGTTGAGCATGCTCTCGATATAAGCCGTCTGGGACAGCTTGGTGGTACCATTCTCAAGGTCCACCTCAATGGCACACCCATCGTACCAGGTACAATCTCCTAGATCC